GTTTTTAGTAACTTTTTTTACAAATTTAAATTCAAATATCTTAACAAATATTAAACCAAACTTGATAATTTTTTTTTTATTTTGATTCTATAATTAAATAAAATTAAAATAAAAAAATTTTTATTAGGTTTGGTTTGATAGTTGTTAAAATATTTGAATTAAAATGTTAAAAAAATTTATTTAAAAAAAATTTGCCTGTTTTCTATTAACCTCGCATATTCTGATATCTATTTACTCTATTGTATCTAGCACATTGAGCATAATATTGAAAAGCAGCTTGCAAAGCTACTTGGTAATTGTTATACAGATTTTATCAAAATATTTTATCATTGCCAAAACGTTTTATATAAAGAAACATTTAAGAAATATTAGAAACAACTTATGATCGATTTTCTAGAATCAACTGAATATCTACTTAGATAGCTTGATCTACGTAAAACAACTTGGGCAAAAGCATTTACAGATTGAGTTTTTATAACGAAGATAATATCTATATAATGATCTGAATCAATAAATAGTGTAATTAAATAGACTATAAATGAAAGAACTTAACTTCATATCCTGTTTAACCAAATTAAATCACATGTTGCAGAAAAACAATTTGTTGGTTGGTTTGTAGCTTGGCATGAAAGTTAACATCATATATGATATCAAGTGTCCTTGAATGACTTTTTTCTGATATATACAATATTTTGCAAAAGTATATAATATTCAAAATTTTACAATTACATATTGATCAAATGAATAAGGCAGTAATATATCATAACAAAAAGGTTAATTTTGAGGATCTATATAATTTAACATTGGAGGTTATTGATAATAGGCTGATTGAATTTGAGTATGACTTTTGTCAGATACATTTTGATGAACTTCTTGTGGGAATCGATCATTTTTTAGTTGCTAAGGTTTGGAAAATTCAATCAATCGAGCATAAATCGAATATTGGACAGAATATAGTACTACTAAAAAATAGATTTTATTTATACGCATATATCTTATTATTTGATAGTGAAGTGATTTGTCATTATTGATTTTGTATTCTTTTATAGTCTGAAAAGGCTTATTTTCACATTTCTCTTATTTTAAGACATTGGTACAAAGATGAATTTATAGATGCAGTAGTTGTTAATGAGCCATTTCTTAGAAGAAATTTATTAGAAAAGAATAGTTCAACACTATCTTTACCTTCTTTTCTGGATGTTGCTGATTTGTGAAATACCATACTTATTGAAGCTCTCATACAAGCTGCAGCAAAAGCAATTGGCCATAAACAATCAATTAAAGGAATATTGCTTAGGCTTGCCTGTAAATATATAGAAGTAGTTAATTACAATAATTTAAATGATTCAAAGATTTTGATAAACTAGATATTTAGAATCTACTTAAATATATTAGAAAAGGGGTGTCCTTCCAAAAAGCGTATAAAATCAGCAATTGAAAAACCAAAAAAACGTACACATACTTCATCTTATGCTTTTCGTTAATGCAGTATTTGTAAAAGCAAGAAATATGATAAGCAAAATTGCTTTAACAAATAGTTAATATAGCATATTATTTATTATTGTACTATATAATATATAATAATCTCAAATTGATATAGCAAATTAATACTCAAATTGAAACTTAGAATTAATGATGATTTATAAGTATGAGAAGTATATTTCTCAATAAACTTGATAAAGAATCTGATTGGTCAGTTTTATCTTATATACTAATCAGATTCTTTATTGATTTCATTGAGAAAAGTACTTGAAGACGCTCTAAATTATATAGTAATTTAATATCGCTTAAGATATTTACTTTAACGTAAAATTTCAATTTATTTAGAACTAAAGTTACTAAAGCAGAACTTTAGTCATTTATTTTAAAATTAGAATTAGGTAGGTTAAGTCAGAAGTGATACATTATAGATAAGGTTAAGCTTATACGATACATAGCTCGTCTTCTAGCAAAGTTCTTTTGATAAAATAGAAGTTCACAGGCCGAAGGTTTGCGAATGTATGTATAGGTGTTAATTTTTTTTTAGACAAGTATTTTGAGGTTATTTTGAGCAATTGCATAGTTTATTTTATGTTAAGGCTATATGTAAAATAATTGAACTCAGGTTGGGTTCATAGAAGAACTTTCATTTGATTGGCTGATATAATTGGTAACTAATTTATAAAG